GGGCCCCCTCAAGGGCATGCTGGGCTGCACTGAGGACCAGGTTGTCTCCTGACACTTTAACAGTGACACCCACTCTTCCATCTTCAATGATGGGCCTGCACTGCCATCAGTGACCACTTTATCATGTTCATTTCCTGTTATGACAATGAATTTAGCCACAGAAACTGGGTGGTCAACCTTATGGTCCACATGACCTTCAAGGAGTAAGAGCCCCCTGGACAACTGGCCACAGGTAGAGCACAAGATGAAGAAAGAAGCCCTCAGATGCTATGGAGTCCTTGCCCCAGCTCATCTTCCAACACACTGAGAATCTCCCAACCTCAACAAGGTTTTCATCCCAGACACCATGAAGAAAATAAGGGGCTTAGGGAGCCCTACCTTGTCATGTACCATCCATAACGTACACTGTAGCAAGCCAAAAAAGAAAGAAAGACAAGAAAAGGACATCCAAATCATAAAGGAAGTAAAACTGTCACTATTTGCAGATGACATGGTACTATACATATAGAAAACCCAAAAGACTCCTTTGAAAATCTATCAGAACTAATACATTAACCCAGTAAAATTGCAGAACACAATATCAATATACAGAAATCTGTTGCATTTCTATACTAATGACAAACTATCGGAAAGAGAAATTAAGAACACAATCCCATTTCCAATCCCATCAAAATGCATAAAATGCCTAGGAATAAATTTCACCAAGAAAGTGAAGAGACCTATACCCTGAAAACTATAAGATAGTGATGAAAACAACTGAAGATGACACAAATAAATGTAAAGATATGCCAATCTCATGAACTGGAAGAATTAATATTGCTAAGATGTCCATACTACCCAAAGCACCTACAGAGTCAATGTAATCCATATCAAAATCATAATGGTATTTTTCACAGAACTAGAAAAAAAAGTTCTAAAATGTATATGGCACCACAAAAGATGCCAAATAGCCAAAGCAGTCTTGAGTAAGAAAAATAAAGCTGGAATATCACACTCCTGGATTTCAAAATATACTATAAAGTTATAATATAATCAAAACAGATGGTACTGGCACAAAAAGAGAAACACAGATCAATGGAACATAAAAGACAACCCAGAAATAACACCTATGTGGTCAATTCATCTATGACAAAGAAGGCAAGAATATACAATAGGAAAATGAGTTTCTTCAATAAATAGTGTTGAGAAAACTGGACAGCTACATGCAAAAGAATGAAACTGAACTACTTTCTTATACCATATACCAAAAATAAACTGGATTAAAGACTTAAATGTAAGACCAAAACCATACAACTCCTAGAAGAAAACATAGGCAGTAAGCTCTCTAACATCACTCTTATCAATATTTTTTTGGATCTATCTCCTCAGGCAAGGACAACAAAAGCAAAAATAGACACATGGGACTACATCAAACTAAGAAGCTTTTGCACAGCAAAGGGAAACATCAATAAAACAAAATACAACCTACTGAATGGGAGAAAATATTCATAAATGATATATCCGATAAGAGGTTAAGATCCAAAACATATTAAAAAGCTCATATAACTCAGTATTATAAAAATAAGTAATATAATCTAAAAATAGAGGACCTAAATAGACATTTCCCCAAAGACGATATTCAAGTGACCAACAGGTACATGAAAAGATATTCACTAACAATCAGGGAAATGCAAATCAGGACCATAATGAGATAATTACTTCACATATGACAGAATGGCTAGTATAAAAAAAAAAAAAATTACAAGTGTTGACAAGGATGTGGAGGAAAAGGCACACTTGCACTGCTGGTGGGAGTGTAAACCGATACAGACACTATTGCAGGTTCCTCCTCAATAAATTAAAAATAGAACTATCATAAAATTCAGCAATTCTGGTTTTTATCTGAAAAATACGTTTTTAACCAAAGGACAAAAAAAACCACTAATCCCAAAAAGACATCTGCACCCCTGTGTTCACTGCAGTACAAGAGCCAAGACTAGAAACAACCTAAATGTCCATCAATAGATGAATGGGTAAAGAAGATGCGGTATACATGTTCACACACAGACACACAGACACACACAATTACTCAACCATAATAAAAGAATAAAATCTTGCCATTTGCAACAACACGGATGAACCTAGAGGGTATAATGCTAAGTGAAATAAGTCAAACAGAGAAAAACACATGGTATGATTTCACTTTTATGTGGAATCTAAAAAACAAAACAGAAATAGACTCAGATACGTTAAAGAAACCTATGACTGCCCAACAGTAGGCAGGTGAAGGGGATGGACAGAACAGTGAGGGGGACTAAGAGATACAATCTTCCAGTCATAAAATAAGTAAGATGAGGGAGGGGGATATAATGTACAGCACAGAGAATCAATAATACTTTAACAACTCTGTAAAGATGGTAACTAGACTTATTAAAGTGACCATTTCATAATGTATATAAACACTGAATCATTATGTTGTACACCTAAAGCTAATAAAATATTTTATGTCAAATATTCTTCAATAAAAAAAAGAGAGAAGTGCAGAAATAACCTACATTAAGTCCTATATTCCTGAAATGCACAGTTTTCAAAATTCCTTCCTATCATTGGGTTCTAATTGTAGCAATGATACCTATGTTATTAATCAACCAAATATAGCCACAGTGCTAGCATTATTTTTATCTCTATGTCAAAAGTTAGTGCTACAAGAACTGCAGCAGAATGAGTTAGTTGACTAAAGTATGACTTTTCTTAATATTTTTGTATTATTTTCTTCTGTACTTTAGATGAAAAATTATACTTTAAAAATTCCTTATATTTTCAGAGGCTTTTGTTAAGTATGATGACAAAGATCTGGTCTGATTAAAATGTAATAATGATTAAGTGACTGAGCTTAAAATCTAGAGGGACTTGTGTAGATGATCCTACATGATACATTTTTCATTAAATACGAAGTTCTTCACAAACATGGTTTTCAATTAATGATAAGCTATCAGACACCATTATTAAAAAAAAAATCACCATTCTACCTCATCATACTTTATATGCATTTTATATATTTCTTGTGGCTGAAGATAGTAACTACAACAAAATTAGCTTTCATATATTTTATAACATCCAGCCAAAAAAAAAAGAAAAGTAACTCTTAACTTTGCTATTGCTGATGTATGTCCTGAACCTCTTGAACAGGAGAGTAACCTAACTTCTTCCTGTACCAGGCAATAAATAAATGCTCTTGCCAGTGTTCACTCCACTTCTTGTCCTTTGAGGCCTAGTCCGAACATACACATATCCACTAACCTCTATATCAAACGGAAGGCAGGATGGTGTAGTGGAAAGAACACTGGACTGAGAGTCAGGAGGCCTGTGTTCTAGTTCCAACTCTGTCAACTATGAGCTGTGGACCTGGGGAAGTCACTTAACCATTCTGGGTCTCAGTTTCCTCATCTGTAAAATGAGGGGATTAGATTAGAGAATCCCTAAAGTTTTTCACACAAACTATCTGAGATTCTAGGTTAACCAAACAAAGCTACATTATCACACAGATCATTAGTTCTTCTTCCTTCTCTAATTGGAACAAGTCCCTCTATGGACTGAAAAGCAGTAAAGCTGTACTCAAGAGCAGTGCTTCCCAAACTTTAACGTGCACATGGAATCATCTGGGAATCTTGTTGAAATAGAGATAATGAATCCATAGGTCTGAGTGGCACCTGAGATGCTGCATTTATAACAAGCTTCCATATGATGATGATGATGGTCAACAAAATTCATTTTAAGTAACAAGCTCTAGAATAGCTTCTCAGGACACAGAAACTGCAATCTCACTAATCATCTACACTTTTTGGTTTTCTATACTGAGACTACCCTTTTATAAGTAAACATTGCCTCTCTTGTCAAGGAACTTACAAGATTATCTTGGATTTTTCTGCATAAAATTATTCCTTAATTTTACAGATTTTAGAAAATATTCTGAATAGTAAAAGCCAGCTATGAATTATGAATAAATACTTCTTAAAGACGTATTTTATCATTGTAAAACCATTCATAAGCCAAATTTTTTTCAAGTAAGAAGAAAAATATCCTTTCCTTTCTTCATTTCCCAAACATATTTCTGGATCTTCACATCTCAAGAATATTCAGATAAACTAAAAGAGTGCTTTGGGTAGAAATCTACGTAAGTGTGCATGAATCACTTCATGATTCTCTGAAATGGTCAAAGCCCCGAACCTGAGCCCTCCATAGCTTGAGAGTTTTCTGTGAATGCTTTCACACCACTTGTTCCATTCTACTCCAATCCATGCAGTAGGGAAAGGCAGTATAATAAATTACCATACATTTTAAGCGTCCTAGATTAGCTGGTAATCCCAAAGGATGGTTACCCAAAATAGGGAAAATAAAAGAGATACCCTTCAATTTTTTCTTGATGACATAGAGATTGATCCCAAAACATAAACTGGGGGAGAGAGGGGCAGAAAGGAAATTTAAGTCTTTCACTCAATCGTATTTATGTACTGGTCGGCTCTTATTAAAAGATGCTTTGTGTGCTTCTCTCCTCATTGACTCCCTTATCTCTGTCTCATTTTTAATACAAGTAGTCATAAATTTCATAATCAAAAGAACCTCTAAACTCATCCTTAAATTTCAAGGATATCCTAATTTTTAAGCTGTCATTCTCTGTAGATAAAATTAAAGTACTAAGAGTATTTAAGAAGACGGTCAGTACTACCTGATATCATAAAGCAATTCTGACTATATTATTAAAAACTCCATAAAAAATTTTTAAATTGCAAAATGCTAATCCAATTTATTTATAAAGAAGGAGAAACAGTGGGAAAGTCGAAGTTGGAACACATTAATATTCCCCTGTATTTTTCTGGCACCTCTGAATGGAAGATTATTAACAAAAATTCCTTTGGAGAAGTAAAAACTACCTGGGTTTGGAGGAAAAAAAGAAAAATTCATATAAATGTGGCTACTTGAGAGAAACAAACTGTAGCACACAATGCAACTTTACAAAATACCTGAGAGCCAATAGCTGGAAATGTAACTCCTTGTTCCTTAAGGTTCTTAATCATTGCTGATATTAGACTAAGCTGTGGATCATTCTTAAATTCATCTGTCCATTCAACCATAAGAGCCTTTAATTTTTCACAGACTTTAGGATGACCCTGAAAATAAGAAAAAAATTTAATAAAAAAGTACTAATTTCCTGGCTAATGATATAACACAGATATGTTTAATATAGAAATTATAAAGTGCTATAGATATTTTTTTGAATCACAAATAACCCTTAGCTATAGATGATACATAAAAAAACAGAGTTGGTTACTAGAAATAATCAAATTTTTTTCACACTATGAAAAAACAACAAGATGATACCAACATACATACCTCATATCAAACTAAAACAGATTAAGTATGTAATAACTTATTTTGGAGGTCAGAGAGATGGAAATTTTCAGAGTACTTTGCAACTAAGTGAGCTTTCTACATCAGGAAGACACAGAAAAGTACTCTGCTTTGTGTTGGCTATTTGCAGACCAGTAAAAAATAAGTTGGAAAAGAGAAAATAAATGATACAATTCCTTTATTCCTATTCTCTGACTTTTAAAAATATGCTTGACTGTGTATTTTTTCCAAGTTGTTTAATTATCCGCGGCCTGGTTTGAGGCCCACTGTGTGTCAATATTTCTAGAAACTTTATTTCTTCAAAATAACATCTCCCCCTCAAGTATAAAAATCACTCTGTTCACTGTAAAACATTTGGAAAATGAAGAAGTCCTTTCTCTTATGTGTAGCTGTTTGCTTTTCAAAATGTTTGTGCTACTAAATACAAGTTTGAATATCTCATCTTCAATTAAATTACAGAAAACATTATACTAAAATCTCTTCATAAACAGTCATATGTTTTGATGGACATTCAGGACATTAAAAGAATGATTATTAACTAGTAGAAAATACCTAAATGTAACTGAATAAAGCAAAACAGGAAAAGAACCATAATCATGCTTGACAAGGAAATACAGAAATTCTGTAAAGAATTATGTAAATTATTTCTGTACTGTTTTCTACTAAAACCTGGAAATAATCATTTTCCCAAAAAACATGAGGCATTTTCCCTTTTAACATCTTAAAAGTTTTCTTGATTATATGATATCCCATCCTCCCTCCTCCCAAGAGTCAGAAATAATTACCTGTAGAATGCACAAATTTTTACTGGGAAAACTCATACGTTACTTAGTAACTTAATTTTTTTTAATTCCTTGAATTGCATAAATTGTATTCTTTATTCTACATTCAGTTAAATAAAAAGCATAGCATTAAAATCCTGCCATGGTCAGGTAGTGGCCTTGCTCATGTCACAATGAAAACAGTGTCATATTTTGGCAGTATTTCTGTTCTACATTGGGAAAATATCTCAGTGGCTACACAAATGGTTACAAAAACTGTGCCTAAAACAGACTGGTATTAATTAACCAGATGGAGAAATACATGTATTTTCTTATTAGATGAAAGGACTGATGAAGAAAACAGGTTAAATATACTCTAATCTGGTTTAAAAAAAAAAAAAAAAATTCTCCAAGTATATAAACTTATAGTCTCTCCAGTACAATATTTACTTTACTTACATACTGGATAGACACAGCCTAGGAAGGATTATAAAAAACAAAGCACAAACCAGTCCTTTGTGATTTAAAATGTGAAAAACTGAACAATAAAATACACAAAGAAGATTGTGTTAATTCATTTCTGGAAATAATGTTCCTTACCTTGTTTAGTACGTTGCTCACCTCACTAGCAAAATCTCTTGAACATACTTCTAAATGAAAAATTTTGCCACAGTTTGATACACATGCTCCTAGAAGCTAAAAGTATAAAATCACAAGTTAAAATAAGGGCTCAATTTTAGCAGATAGTTTTGTGGTAAAACTTAAAATGAAATCACTTACAGTCAGAGCTTGCATAGCAACATGAGGATCTTTATGGTTCACCCTCCTCATAATAGACCGAAGACAATCTTTAGGTCTAAAAAATGAGAAATGTAACAATCAATTAGTAGTATATCCAGGTTTTTCCCCCCTTAACTATAATAGGCAATACACCACTATACAAAAGGTAGACTACAGTAGTTTAATTTTTATTAATGACACAAATGAACAGTACACTAACAAGTTCCTTTAAATTTTTCAAATAAAATTAACAGGCTCTCTTCCTTAGCAATCATAGATTAGGCATTTCACACTAATCTTGGATGAGAAAAAGTTCTGAAAATGAAATGACAGACCAAAACTTCCACTTCCAGTCATGATGGAATAATTGGAACTAGACTTATACTCTTGCTGTAAACAATGAGAAAACTGGAAAAAAATATTTAAAATATACACTCAGGTCACTGTTTGGGACATTAGGCCACAGGCAATGCTGAATGATCTCTAAGAAGGAATATAATTAGATAAGCCAGACATTTGCCTCAACTTTCCACTCAGAGGCACTTTCCAGATACCAGTACAGACTTTCTGCCTAAAGGCAGTTTCTGGATCCTGGTGCAGAGTTGGTGATCCCAAGAAGAGAACAGTAATCTCACTGAGCTGAAGGGAAAGAAATCAGAATTCAGGGAGGCCAAGGAAGCTACAATTTGCAAGACAGAGTAGAAGGAGCTATATGAAGAAATAGTCCTGGATACTTGCAAAGGAGTCCATTTAGGTCTACTGTGGAAAGAACCACACATTCATAGATTAAAACCTCCGAAGGCTGAGCAAAAAGTGACTGCAAGCTGTATGCTGAAGAGTTCCCAAAGCTCACAGAGTTGTCAGAGTTCGTATGAAAATGTAAAGTCCTTGTTAAATATATAGAGCATCCTGTGGATACACAAGAGTTTAGGCCTTAGTATTGGGACTGAACTATCCCAAAAGACTCCTCTAAATCCATCCTAGAACTACCTAAAAACAAGCCACAGAAGGATAAAGTTGATCCAAATGTAACGTGTGTTCAGAGAGAATAAAGTCCAATACTCTTTAACAACAACAAAACCTGGCACTTGATATAAAAGTCATAACACTAAACAGTCAGTCAAAAATTATTAGATATGGGGCGCCTGGGTGGCTCAGTTGGTTAAGCGACTGCCTTCGGCTCAGGTCATGATCCTGGAGGCCCGGGATCGAGTCCTGCATCGGGCTCCCTGCTCAGCAGTGAGTCTGCTTCTCCCTTGGACCCTCTCCCCTCTCATGCTCTCTCTATTTCATTCTCTCTCTCAAATAAATAAATAAAATCTTTAAAAAAAAAATATTAGATATAATACAACACATAACTAGGAGAAAATTCAGTCAACTGATAATGAAGAAATGACAGAGATGTTGGAATTAGCAATCAAAGACTCTGTATAAGCTATTCTAAGTATATTCAAGGATGTACATCAAATCATCAACATAATGAGGAAAGAAATGGTGTAAAAAGGATAAAGCTTAAAAAAAGAAAATGCTTCTAGAAATGAAAAATATGTTTTTAAAAAGAGTAATCAGGTAAGAATAAAAGATCAGTAAACTTGAAGACATGCTTGAAGTACATGAATTTAGAGAGAAAAAAAGACTAAAAAAATTTAATATAGAACCATCACTAAATACATTTTTAAAAGAGAAATGGAAATTTTAAAAAATTACAAAAAATATTCAATTGATATATAAGACAATAAACAAAAGTTCAACAGGAGAAACATATCATCTAGAAAAATGGCAAGTTTTAACATTTTAATCCAACCATATCAACAGTTATATTAAATGAAAGTGGTCCAAACACATCAAATAAGACAGATTGCTAGACTGGATTTAAAAAGCAGGACTGGGGGCGCCTGGGTGGCTCAGTCAGTTAAAAGTCTGCCTTTGGCTCAGGTCATGGTCCCGGGATCCTGGGTACTTCTTGCTCAGCGGCGAGTCAGCTTCTCTCTATCCCTGCGTGTGTGCACGCACTCTCTCTAGCTCTCAGTCTCTCTCAAATAAATAAAATCTTTATAAAAAAAAAAAAAAAAGCAGAACCCACCTAAATGCTCCCTACAAGAAACTGTTTAAATATAAAGACATACGTAACTTAAAAGTGAAACGATGGAGGAAAGAAAGATACACTAAGCAAACATAAACCACAAGAAAGCTGGAGTAGCTACATTAGTATCAGGCAAACTGCACTGCAAAACAAGCCACATTACCAGGGATATAGAAGAAAATTACAAAATGATAAAGAGATCAATTCTCCAAGGAGACATAACAGACCAAGATGTATAAGTCTTATCTAAAAACAAAGCTTCAAAATACATGAAGCAAAAACTAATAAAACTGAAGCGAGACAAATCCACAATTTAGTTGGAGATTTCATTCCTTTGTTAGAAATTGATAAAACAATTAAATAGAAAAATAGGTTTGGGAACACTCTACCCTACAATAGAATATATATCATTTCCAGTACATACAGATTATTTACCAAGACAGACCATTAAAAAAAACTTAATTTTTTACTTTTTATTTTTTTTTTTTTTTTTTTAAGGATTTTATTTATTTATTTGAGAGAGAGAGAATGAGAGATAGAGAGCACGAGAGGGAAGGGGGTCGTCAGAGGGAGAAGCAGACACCCTGCTGAGCAGGGAGTCCGATGTGGGACTCGATCCTGGGACTCCAGGATCATGACCTGAGCCGAAGGCAGTTGCTTAACCAACTGAGCCACCCAGGCGCCCCAAAAACGTAATTTTTTAAAAAGTGAAATGATACATGCTATGTTGTTAGACCATGATAAAATTATACTATAAATGAGTAATATGAAGAAAATTGGAAATTCTCCAAGTTCTAAATAACCACAGTTGGTCATAATACATTATCCTTTTTATATATTATTGGGTTTGATTACAGTATAATTAAGGATTTCTGTACCTTTGTACATTACTAGTCTATGGTTTTCTTTCTTTGTTTTTGGTATTGACCTACTGCAGGCCTCACTCATAAAGTGAGTTCCAACAAAGAAAATTCTGAGCCCAGATGGCTTCACTAGTGAATTGTACCAAACAAGTGCCATTATGCTAAATATACAAATTTTTCGTAGATGTCCTTTAACAGGTTGAGTAAATTACCTTTAGTTCTTAAATTAATGAAAGATTTTGTTACAAATGTATACTGAATTTTTTCAAAGGAACTTTCCACATTTATTGAGATGATTCTATGGGGTTTTTTTCTTTAGTATGATGAGACGGTGAATTACACTGATTTATTTTCAAGTGGTGAACCAGGCTTGTCATGCCTGGGATAAACTCCACTTGACTTTTCTTTAAAGAACCAGCTCTACTTTTGAACTTTCTCTATTGTTTTTCTCTTTTCAATTTCATTAATCTCTGCTCTTATTTTCCTTTCTTTTCTTTTGCTTCCTTTAAGTTTGTTCTTCTTGTTTCTTAAGATAAAAACTTAGATCAATGACTTGAGAGATTTCTTCTTCTAATATAAGCATTTAATGATATAAATTTACCTCTATGGATTGCTGTAGCTACATCCTACAAGTGTTGATATATTTCATTTTCACTTTCATTTCACTGAAAATACTTTCCAACTGCTGTTGTGATTTCCTCTTTGACCCACAGGTTATTAGCCCAAAATGGAGATAAAACATAATCATAAAAAAGTAATTGAAAGGAAAGAAAATGAGGAAAAAAGGGAACAGAGATAAAACATATTGAAAACCACTAGCAAAAAGGAAGCTTTAAATCCAACCATATCAATAATTACATTAAATGTAGTCTCAACACTCCAATTACTAGGCAGAGACTGTCAAATTGGATAAAAAAGCAAGAACCAAGTATATGCCAGCTATAAACAACTATAAGAAAATCTATTTTCTATAGTTATAGTTTATCTTATAGATAAGCTAATAGACTAAAAGAAACAAGACAGGAAAAGACGTATCAACATTAATCAAAAGAAAGTCAAGGGCGCCTGGGTGGCTCAGTTGGTTAAGCGACTGCCTTCGGCTCAGGTCATGATCCTGGAGTCCCTGGATCAAGTCCTGCATCGGGCTCCCTGCTCAGCAGTGAGTCTGCTTCTCCCTTGGACCCTCTCCCCTCTCATGCTCTCTCTATTTCATTCTCTCTCTCAAATAAATAAATAAAATCTTTAAAAAAAAAATATTAGATATAATACAACACATAACTAGGAGAAAATTCAGTCAACTGATAATGAAGAAATGACAGAGATGTTGGAATTAGCAATCAAAGACTCTGTATAAGCTATTCTAAGTATATTCAAGGATGTACATCAAATCATCAACATAATGAGGAAAGAAATGGTGTAAAAAGGATAAAGCTTAAAAAAAGAAAATGCTTCTAGAAATGAAAAATATGTTTTTAAAAAGAGTAATCAGGTAAGAATAAAAGATCAGTAAACTTGAAGACATGCTTGAAGTACATGAATTTAGAGAGAAAAAAAGACTAAAAAAATTTAATATAGAACCATCACTAAATACATTTTTAAAAGAGAAATGGAAATTTTAAAAAATTACAAAAAATATTCAATTGATATATAAGACAATAAACAAAAGTTCAACAGGAGAAACATATCATCTAGAAAAATGGCAAGTTTTAACATTTTAATCCAACCATATCAACAGTTATATTAAATGAAAGTGGTCCAAACACATCAAATAAGACAGATTGCTAGACTGGATTTAAAAAGCAGGACTGGGGGCGCCTGGGTGGCTCAGTCAGTTAAAAGTCTGCCTTTGGCTCAGGTCATGGTCCCGGGATCCTGGGTACTTCTTGCTCAGCGGCGAGTCAGCTTCTCTCTATCCCTGCGTGTGTGCACGCACTCTCTCTAGCTCTCAGTCTCTCTCAAATAAATAAAATCTTTATAAAAAAAAAAAAAAAGCAGAACCCACCTAAATGCTCCCTACAAGAAACTGTTTAAATATAAAGACATA